TATCCCACTTTCCTAGCAAAATGTAAAGAAATAAATCTTGGCTAAAGACTTTAGCTCAGTGTAGTACCTGTACTCAAACAATAAATAGCCAGGCTATTTAAATGCAGAGATGTGACTAACTGGTGAGATCAAGACTCACTAAACACAACAGGGAGACCAGACAACTACAGACAGAGCACGGACAGAGCAGACAGACACAGGAACACGAATGGGGAAACATATACATAAACATATAGACAGAACTCGCTTCAACGGAAGACGCTCAGAAAAATATAGAGATGAAGAAAAACCACAAAAGGAAACGAACAATATCAAACAAGAAACTATGATTGGGAAATATAGATAACAAACTCAGAGACACTAAGAACTAAACGGCCAGACTGTACAAAGCTTGAACCGAAATACAGTTAATCATGAATCCAAAACAAAAAGACCCAGGACCGTGGCACTGTCATGGTGAAAGTGACTCTAACTGTCAGAAGAACAGGTAAGGCAAGATTTAACAGCTACATCCATGGATGAAGGTTGTTGTGAGTGCGTTCTTCATGCTTTTACCAACCACTGAAGCTGTTTACTCAGAACAGATCTCACTATAAAATCACAAGTTACCATACTAAACATGCGGTCCTTTAGACCTTTTGTATTTACGGCCTTGTTTGAAGTCCCAACCACAGCAGTGTTTAAGTTTCCAACAACTTCCTTCTCTTAAGTACACAAGACTTTTCTATCACTTTGGTGTATGTATCTCAGTTGAATCAGAACTGTCAGGTGTTCTTGTCAGGTCACTGTGTTTTTTCTGACACTGAGTGGTGCTCTGAAGTGAGCGCAGAGGATGGAGCGTGTGACCACAACTACCTTGTGAGATCTGTATGCTGGTACATGTGTCTCTTTGTGCTTAAGTGAATGGCAAGCTGACTGGGTGGGTCTTCACTGATAATGTGGAGTTTGTAATTTTGCTTTGCACATTGACAATATTCAAATAACAATGAAGTTGAAAACAATCTATTAATGTTTTCACCACGTCCTTAGTACACAGAAAGTAATCAAAAGAAAAAGAAAAACGCTGCAAGGCATTTCAGACTTAACTCCTCCCACCCATCACTATTTCTGTAGATCGAATGACCTGAAATTGTGCTGACAACTTACCCAGAAATGGACAGCACTGGTCTTGTTGAGAAATAAATATAATTTCATAAGAGAATGCAAAATGACACCCTTGTCACAGCTTTTTCATTTTATAAAAACATAAAATATCACAAAGATTTGTAAAAAAGATTTGGAATTATATGTTCTAATAATTTATTCTGCTTGCTCCTCCAGTCTGAGCCAACCCTTAGCTTACTACCTATTTGTGCAAAGCAATGACAATGACACCCGACAACTTCATTTCACCTCCCCCTCTTAAGTAAATGCTTTTTCGTTCTCTTATATCTGGACTTTATAGCAGCAGCTGTAAAAATATTACCCCATTGGAAACTAGGGCATGGGTGAACTGCTGCATCATTTTCATTCACTAAATACACAAGTGTGTTCTGCTTTTTTTAGTCAGTATTATCAGTCTTTATAGTTCCTTGAAACAAGTCTCTACATCTTGTATTTACAAAACGGATAAATCTTGAGTTGCATCCACACAGGAATTTTTCCATGCCTTTGTCACTGATTGTTGCTAGCAGACATTCCAGATTACCGTTACCTAAGTAATCCTGTAATTTATTTACTATCCTATCATATGTCATTAAATGACTTTCTCCGATTTCATTGTTAACCTCTTGTCATGAACCCAGAGGGTTCGTATGAAAGGCAGACCCAAAAACAGACTCAAGAGCTGATTCACTTCTTGACCAGACTTTTTTTTACACAACAAAACCAAAATTATCTGTAAACATATGTGAGAAACACCAGTGGAGAGGGGAGTGAAGTGGGATCTCTGATAAGCAGTTTTCAAACAGAGGAGATTGTGGCTACTGACTAAAATAGTAGAGGAGGGGCTCTGTAGGTGAGTATAGGGCTGAGGGATGTTTGCGTACTTGCAGGTTGCATCCAAGACCCTTTGGGAAGGATAACCAAGGGAGTGTCTATGCAGGGAGTGAGCACTGGAGGTAGCAGGGAATCCATATCTCGGTTCTGGAGGAGTTCCGGTGGTGCACAGTGGAGACAAAGGCAGGCATAGGTAGTATTGCAGGTGAAACCAGCGGCTGAGTGCAAATGCAGCAGCGGACGGATCTTGGAGGACATGACCGGGAACTGAGAAACAAGGAAACAAGTTTTTACACAGGGAATAAATCACAAAAGCAAAATTATTAGAAGACCTAGTTACCACTGAGAGTTGGCAGACAAATGGCAGAAACTACAGGAAGCTAGCGAGCGCTGGCTTTAAGAACACTCCTGCTGATTAGCCTTGGAATGGAACTCTGGCGAGGCACTCTGCTCAAGAAGATGAACACAGGAAACTCATCGCCTCCAGCTGGAAAATCCCAGACACTCCCATGGACCATGACACTTCTTCAGTCACTGGACTTAAATTTGAGAGATGATGAACTCATTGTCAGTTCTATGACACTCACCACATCAGTGCTAGCTGCTTCCTGTGTAGATGCTCCTTTGTAACCAAAATCTGAGTAATTGCTACTAATACTGTATAGCTTGGAGCTGTGTTGCATGTATATTTATTATAAAAGTCTGAACATAAAAAACTATAAACTGCAACTTCATTGGATTGTGGAGACATAAAATTTAAGACTATATCTAAAAGATGCACTGAGAAAATGACAAGTGATTTGTGGTAATTATGGCAATTTTTTAGAATAAAGTGATTGCCAGTGGTTGGGTAAAAAATGCATTGACAGTGCATTTTCACTTTTAGATAAGGCAGTGCATGGAAACCCAGGTAAATATAAAACAGAACTTTCTAAGATGTCTTTATACTTGTCGATGTTATCTAATTTAACCCGTGAACTAACCTAGTTTTACTGGCTAAATCGAGCCATTCAGGAAGTGAAAACGAAAGCAATCAGTGAGTGAAAAAAAAGCTCAAAGATGTTCCAAGAAAGGACTTAAACCCACAAACATAACTCCATTTTAAGATAATTATTATTATCAATGTTATTATTTTTAAGTTGAAAGACTCTAATGATTTTAAAAAAACTGGAATGTCAATCATAGAACAAATAACCAATGAAATCATTTAGTTGGAAAACTTGCTGAAAGATGATGATAAAAGCAGAGAGCGGATGTTTTTTTTTTAGCAAAGATGAAAAACTTCAAGATGAGCATTAGAAAAATGATTTAAATTGAAAAAAAAAGTGAGCGACTGGATAAAGAAGAGGCGACATACTCCTCAAAGACCTGGAAGGGACCAGTGTGACAGGAAGTGCACTTCATAACCAATCAGGTCCATTTGACAGTGTGACATAGAAGTCCCATGTCATAATACCTCCTACAGTCAGTGAAAAACCTACAATGTATATAAGAAAAGACATTCGCAAGATGATCGTGTTAT